CTCTGCATTGAAAAGTCATGCTTCGGAAAATTACAGATATAAGTGGCCGCTGTACTCAAACAAGTACACCCCTGAAAAAGTATAAAAAAATAATTAAAAAAAAATTTTTTGTTTCATTTTATGTTTTCTAGTCCAGCCCAGATTAACAAAATAAATATTTTTCGTTAAAAACGTTTTTTATTTGATTTTGGGCACTAATGGGTTAAAGCAGAATCACACAGAGCTACGTCATCGGCCTGTACATAAAACTCTGAAATTCACGTGATCGTTTGTATAACGATTATACAGCTGTAATTTGGCGCTAAAAGGCTTTTTAATTGCCTCCTCACTGAGTTTGGCGAGGAGCATTGTAATTAGTGCTTTAATAATTATGTGCGAACTGCACACGAATGCTACAACATTCCACTTGTCGGTGTTCTCCTCAGGGCTTGTTCACCAGTGTTATCGCTAACGTTGTTACTAACTACTCAATTTTTAACCGACTTCAAAAAAGGAGGTTTACAATTCAAGTGTACGTTTTTGTACCTTATATCTTCGTCAGTTGTAAACCGATTTTTATGCTTCTTTTTTTTAACAAGAAAAAAGTAAAAAAAAAAAAAAAAAAAAAAAAACACAAGTTTAGAGGTGTACTGAAAAGATTTCTCTCCGCGTCGAATGACGTATTTTACCTCATAACTTAACTCTATTTTAACTTCACGCTAAGAAAATTGAAAATTTTCAAACATAGGGAAGTTATTAGTTTCACCCAGATTTTCGAAAATCGAGTTTTCATCACATCTCGACGTTAGGAAGCTATTCTGACTAATTTCACGGGGACGTCCGTACGGATGTATGTGCACACTCGCGCGCGCGCGCATGTGCGTGTGTGTGTGTGTGTGTGTGTGTGTGTGTGTGTGTGTGTGTGTGTGTGTGTGTGTGTGTGTGTGTGTGTGTGTGAGTGTGTGTGTGCGCTGCGTGCGTGCGTGCGTGTGTGTGTATGTGTAAGTATGAAACCTTTCATAACTTTGAAACGTCTTGATTGATTGAGATGCGGTTTGGTGATAATATGAACTGATTCGGACGAGTAGATTTTGATAAATCTCATCTCTCTCTCTCTCTTTTTTTATAACTTTTAAACGGCTTTACCGATCGACTTCAAAAACCTCTTAACCTCAAAAAATGACTTCGAATGCCATTTGGAAAATAAAAATCGGTTCATTCGTTCGTGAGATATCGAAGAAGAAAGAATTCGAAAAAAAAAACGTTTTTAACATAATTTCGAGATTTCGCAACATAATTTGGTGAAATTTGGAGCGCTTTGCATTCGAAATTAGCGGGAAGTTCCTGGGATGGCCTGCAGGTTCAACCGATTTTTTTTTATAAGATAAGGATGACAAACGAACACACAGTCCCCATGATGGTAAGTGGTAGCTGTGGCTCATAGACATTTACATGTATCCGCGATTACCAATCAAATTGCAGATGCGTTTTCAACTATGAGGACTAATATGGAATGTCTCGTTTCCATTAAAATGATCTCCGGTTCTCTACACTCACCATATGAAACACAGCAGCATTAAGCTGCTATTTAACGCCGGTATTCTGTGGTATTATTATCGTAAATATATCGTAAGAATTTCTGTCACGGCAGTAAGCCCGAAAGTTCCACCGCCGAATTTCTTACTCCGGGATGCTACTTACAATTTCTTGACAGAAAACTCAATAAGTGATTTTCTTGGCCCGACCCGATACGAACTTGGAACCTCATGACCAGCAGTCGAGTTTACTGCAACTAGACCAAAGAGGCAGACCAACGATGAAACATTAGTTGATAAAAAGTAAGTTCACAAAGCTTTTATAAATTATTACACAAAACACGCGTCAACAAACGTACTCTCAATAACAGCTTCATGCTCATTGTGTTAAGTCGTACACTGATATCTAAGACGTGGAAACCGACCACAGACAATTAACCAACTGATAACAAAACCTCGTGATTCGCCCAACATGTCCAAAACACCGCTGGCGATCAATTAGTACGGGTCCCACTTGGCGGTGTATAAACGCTCCTAACCGAACGAACAAACAATCACGTGCTAACGTACTCACAATATAACACTATTTGCATATGTATGTTCAAAATGGCATTATACTGAGGTGGCTTAACGAAGAGTGAAAACAGATCACCACCTTTATACGTGGTAGAGCCATGCTGCAGTTATATTAGTAGTATAGTTGTGGTGGTTGTAGCATGAATGAGTCGGCTCGACCGGGGAAGGACCACGCTCTCACAGAATACCAGCGTCAAATAGTAGCTTAATGCTGATGTGTTTCGTATGGTGAGTGTAGTGAACCGGAAGCCATTTTTACTGGAAACGAGGCATTCCATCTTAGTTCTCACTTGTGACAACGCATCTTCATTTTGATTCGTAATCGAGGATAGATGTAGATGTCTATGGGCTACAGCACCCACTTACCTTCAGGTGGACTGTGTGCTCGTTTGTCAACCAATCCTATAAAAAAAAACCTCTCACCGTCCAATAGTTAAATTTTCGTGAACTTACGGTAATTTAAAAGAGAACACTCTTTAGTGATAAGACCGCCTTATGGTAAGCTCTAAGCTTTTGTAAAATTGTTTATTTGGCGCACAAAAAGTACTATACCTAATATATAATAAAACTACTATATCAAAATGACTCTAGGACTGTCTAGACCATAGAATACTATAATACTTATGTATTATAGTATTCTATGGTCTAGACAGTAATGATTATAGAATACTATAATACTTATGTATTATAGTATTCTATGTCTCGACAGAAAACGAGTCCTGGTGACTACACTCTATGGTTACTACCTTTTTTTTAACAAATAAAGTAATTTTCCCAAAAATGATGCAAAAATATAGTACTTTTGAGAAATTAAGGAGAAAAAGAAGTACATATGTATTTTTAGTCTTTATGTATTTTTAATTGTCTTTGCTTTGGCCATCCATCATCTAACCCCCTTAACTTTAAAACTACTGCTTCTACCTCACCTTTAAAATAGTTATAAAGGAGTCTAAGCAATTTAGATTCATATAAAAAAGAATTATGCACGCCATTTTTCTTTCTTCTTTCAATTTTACATTCATGATGGAAATAATTATTTCCGTAAAAATTACTTGTTCCATATTTCTAATCACGGTTAATATAAAAAAGCGCGACAGTGGAATTATGGATAAGATTATAGCATTTTTCGTACTATATTAAATATTTTTCTAATATATAGTACAATTGACTGAAATATAGTACGATATTATACGGCTGGCAACCCTACTTTTTTATAGGATAGGGTGATAAACGAGCACACAGTCCACCTGATGGTAAGTGGATGCTGCGGCCCATAGACATCTACATTTATCCTCGATTAGGAATCAAAATGCTGATGCGTAGTCACCCGTGAGGGCTAAGATAAAATGCGTCGTTTCCATAAAGTTCGTTCTGTACACTCACCAGCACAGCATTAAGCTGCTATTTTACGCTGGTATTCTGTGAGAGCGTGGTCCTTCCCCGGTCGAGCCGACCCATTCGTGCTACAACCACTACAACTATACTACTAATATAACTGCAGCATGGCTCTACCACGTAAAAAAAATATTGTTACCGTTATAGTTTACGTACATACCTAAATTTCACAAGGTCAAACATCCAGCCCCGGAACAATTATTTGCAGGCGATACAAATACTTGTTAATAACAATGAAAAGGGAGCTGGCGGTGCTAAGCGTGGCCGCTATGGTAAATACGACAGGTCAAAAATAATTTGAAGCAATCTATGGGGGGGGGGGAGGCTATGTTCAGTAGTAGCCTTTTGAAAGGCTATAACGATAACAATATTTTATTCATATTAGTTTTTTGAAGTCGGTTTAATTTTTTTCTAATTTTAATTATTTGACCGTTATGAGTGGATCAAGCAATATCACAAACAAAAATTTGCGCCCTCCTTTCACCCAAGGAGGTCGATTCCGTTTACGGCTTAGAGATCTCCCGCTAGATCGTTAAGCCAATCCCAAAAGCCGGTGTTTAATGGGTAAAAGTCTCCACATAACCGCGCAGCCGGCTGCGTGGTATGCTATGAGCGTTCACTACCCCTCTCCCCCGTTACCAGAGGGTTGCCCTTATATGCTTCGGGCGCAGTTTCGTTGTCCGACTTTCAGACACAATAGTAAGACAATAGCTATAAACTATAGAGGGCTATTTTGCAATAGCCGGCCAAATTTGCAGAGGTTCCGAATAAGTAATATAGGCAAATGGTGAAGAAATATTATTTAAACAATCTAAAATATTCTGTCCTTTTAATGTTTTAAATTCAAAATGCATGGTAATGCATTATTTTAACCGATTTTTACTGTAACATATGTACACAATCGTAAGGGTCGATAGATAGGCAAAAACGACGTTGCTCATAAATCACATTCAATTTGGGATAATTTGAAATAAAGCCTTATTTACTTGTATTTTTAAAAATTGCAACAACGTTATATCATTATTAATATATTATTTGAGTTTGAGGTTCAAAATTTAGCTACTCTGAATGAAAACACTGTATGTAGCACACGGGATGGCGAAAGGGTTAAGTTAAAAACTAGTATGTCATTAAAATAGCTAAATAAATAAATTTCATACTCTTCTTTTCCACACTTAGGACCTGATTTTTCTTCAAATTTAAAAGGAAATTCAAATAAAAACATTGAAAACGGTTCACAAACGGCAAAGATATCGTGGTCATAAATTCACAGAGGGGCGGCCCTGACACACCCCCCTCACCCATACACCTCATACATGCTCGGTTAAGGGTACTCCTAATTTGGCCGTTTTCAATAAATCGCCAATTTGGTCGATAAATTTTCGCCAGGACGTCTTTGACTCTGCCATTCACTTCTGCAACATAAATTTTCTTTGTCACTCTTTCCTCATTCATTCTTTCCACATGACCATTTTTTTGACCATTATTTTGACGCCCGTATAATATATGACTTACCAAGGTACCCAAGTAACTGTGCCCAATGTCCTCCTCCGAAGTGTCCCCGGAGACCAGGGTCTGTCGTTTCCATTTCATTTTATTTTCTTGTTCACTTTTATTTCGATTGTGTCACTTTAATATTTTGTGTCTTTGATTTAGTTTTTTTTAATTTTATTATATTAAAATTATTTGGACTATAAATGTCTGCAATAAATACATCTTCAAATTCAAATTAATTTATGTCTTTTCTTTAATTGATAGTGGCAAGTTTTACTTTGAGGAAATTCATTATATTGTTAACAAACACCTTTTTACTACGTGAATCGTATCATGCAAACACAAAGGTAGGTATACATAGAATATACCCGGCTCTGTATTTTTCATCATGGGGGAGGCATATCATTGCGTAGCCAGTAACGACATATTATGAACCTGAATGGTGGTCTTGCACTGCAGGCGTTTTAGAAAGGATCAAGTTTACTCAGCGAGCTATGGAGACGGGTTTCTCTGCATGACGACATAGCACAACAGATCAGTAAGCTGAAGTGGATATAAACCGGCTATATAGCTCGAAGAACCAACAGTTGATGATGAAGAAAAGTTCTGGAGTGAAAGGGTCCGGTAATCGAATTGTAGTGCGGCCCCCAAATAGATAGCAAGATATGCAGAAAGTCGATGGATACAGATGGCTAAGAAACTTGCTTTGTGGCATTTCTTGGTAGGGGGGGGGGGTATGGATGGACAGCGAGTTTAATTACAGGCTGTGACGCATTCAATATTATTAATTGTTTTATTTTATACTACAATTTACTTGAACAACTTGCCAAGTAACAAATTCACACAGATCACTAAGAAATTCTAATCTTATATAATTATATAATTATACAACGTATGTAATTTATTAAATTTATATGTACATAATTCATATATCACAATATGCACGTATTAAATAATTTTTGATATGTAAGTTTAAGTATTATTTTGTTTTATATGAACTTTATGTTTCTGTCATTTACGAGTAACATTTCACACATCTCCTTTATATATTTAAGTTTGCATCAGTCAAATGTTGACTGGCAGATAATGCCTCATGCATTAAGTCCGCCAGTGCATCATATTGTGTGAAGTTTAAATAAATAAATAATAATATCAAAACCGACTTCAGTTGTCACCGGATCTGGTTTATAAATCTGAGAATGTCCAGGCAAATCAATAAGTAGAACATTAGCAGTATCAGCCAACTGAATTGAATTGATAACTATCTCAGTTTTATAGTCGCTAAAATATTTCTTCTGTTAGATTTGTATATTAAACAATCAAAACTTTTAACTTAGGTCGATTTATCAATCTTTGGATAAAATTTATTCATAGGTTAAAATTAAACGCAAACAAATTAAAGATCACAGTTGTGTGATTAAAAAAGTTCGATTGTGTCACTTTAATATTCAGTCGGTTTAAAATTTATTCGAAAGATAACTTTAATCTGGCGATTAAAAATCAACCCTTAATGGAGGCTACTTCTCTCGTACACAGTAGAATAAGGATAACTTGCGACACTTTAAAGGAACGGTGAGTTGTAGATAAATACGAAATTAAATAGGGAATATTAATTTCAAGTTATTTTACAAATTTTATTTGATAGTTTTTATTGTCTAAACTTTTATATCACATATATAGATAAACAAGGAGTCAATACCAGAAAGCACTCTACGCTGTAGTGAAGAAGAAAATATGCTCTACCTACCAATCACTAAAAGAAAGCGAGGAAAATGATTACGACAGCGTTAGAAAAATCGATAATAGGCGAAGATAATCGAGGATATATAGGATATAGATATATAATAGGAGTATCTTCTTCGTTTTAAAAAGTGAATTGTTTAATACCATTATCAGGGTTATGCCATTTTTTCTTTCAATATGATCATACATCGTCAATTTATGCAATTCCATATTATATACCAATACAAAAAAATATCTTAAATACCGAAAACTCCCAAACTCTACACAAATACAGACCACTCAACAATTTTTTTTTAATTTTCAACAATTTCCACTTTTCGAAATATTCGTACTTCGAGTATCCACAGGTAGAACTACCGGGAGGGTATCACCGCGCGCTGAACCCAGGTGTACTGGCGCTAAAGTCTGTTCTCGCGAGATGTGCTGAAATTATGAAACTTGAGACTCGCGCACACTATTAGTCATAGCGTTTAATATGTTACATACTTGTATTACACCTTCAATAGTGCGGTTTATATAGAGCACAAATTATATACTTTAATACTATAATGATAAGACTCAAAATAGCGTAGCATTTTTACGCCTAATTTTTAAATCTTAATTACAGAAAGACTAGGACTTTCCTATGTATCGTAGAGACGTTTTACAACATAAATTACTCATGAACAAACATTCGGAAACATAACAATTATTAAGGAATGAAAACACTAGTTTCGTGCGAGATTCGAAGTTCCGACTCCACAGTGCCACGTCCCGCTTAGTCACAGCGCTGTTAGAACAAAAGCTTTATATTTTTTTTTCAATTTATAACAATGGACGAAACAAAAAAAATTTAAAAAAAGAGAAAAAAAAGAGAAAGAAAAACGTGGCTTCATCATTATGATCCCGAAACAAAATTACAGGAACACCATCACCTACAACTCCCGAAAAATTCAAGGCGAATCTTTCTGTCGGTTAGGTCATTGTGTCTCGTGACACAACTTGACTTGACTGAAATAGTCAAAAGAGTAGTGTTGATTGAGTATCTCGGGTCATAGAACCACTGTTAAAGGGTGAAGTGTCCTTAACAGTAGTTCATAATATTAGGATTGTGACAAGGTAGCGGTCACATCATTCCTAGGGTTTATAATTAACTATAAACACAGGACGCTGAAGTGGAACGCGTCGGCCATATAACTCGAATGGACAACCGATGGGAAAGAAAGGTTCTCGTGTGGCAGTCTCCACTAGATGGAGTGACGACCTGGTAAGACATGCAGGCAGTCGATGGAAACAGGATCGTGCTTTGTGGCATTCCTTGGGGGAGGCCGATTGTTCAGCGGTTCACTTGTAAAGGAACGTAATAATAATGGTGATGATGACGATGATGTATTCTCTGATATAATGATGATTTTAGTAAACATTTTAAACTACTCATTAATAATATCCAACGCTTAGTTGAAACATCCCATTGTTGTCAAGAAATGATCATTTCTAATATCGTCAGTGTGTACACACGTTTACATTCCACAGTTACCGGGCGCTATTACCTCAGCTTAAAAAGTTTGTTCTAGAGATTAGAGCGTCCTCTATCGGTGGTAATGATAGCGTTTATCGAAATTCACGGTCCTAATTGTGTGCTAACCGGTCAAGTGATCACGTGATGAGCTGATCAATTAACGACTGTGAGAGGGCAGGGAGGTTCCGATGACTCTAGTACTAACAACTTAAACTTGCTTACACATAAGTAAAAGTGGAAGTAATAAATAAAGAACATATTTATTAATTGCTGCAACTTACTTTTAAAAGTTAAAGTTACTGCCTATATTACGTCACACAGTTGTGCACAGATAATTTCTGAGAGGTATTTAGGACAATGAAAATGTCCGCCGCGCTGCCCCAACGCATGTTGGTGAACTTCAAATGTCTTCGAATTTCTTTTTTATTTCTCAGACATGCAGGTTTCCTTAAAATGTTTTCCTTCACCGGAGATTACGTGATCTCCGGTGAATTGGAATTACCAACATCATTGGTGCCAGCGTGGATCGAACCGGGGATGCCCGCCTACTGTGTAATTTACAGCGAGCGGTAACCATCTAAGCTACAACTTAATTTTACAAAGCATTAATTTGGCAAAACAAAAATACTTTAAAATTATTATTTGCAATTTTACACGTTCATTTATTTTTTAAAGTTTGCAACTGCAAGACTTCAAGATACTATAAGCTCATTCTGCGTGGATTGGACAAAAATTAATAATTTTAAACTAATGGTAGCCGTGGTTAACTATGACATTGAATACCTCAGTCCCTCCGTGACCACGAGTACTGTAACGTACTCGAAACTTCGAGAAAAATAAGTTAATATACGCGACAAAGTTTAAGAAATTATTAATTGCAGCTTTAAGTGCTGATTTACCACGTGCTAAGAAAAACATCGTTAGGAAGCCTACATATTATGTCTAAAAAATAAGAAAAAGCAATTCCAAAGATACGAGTATGTGAAGTTCGCCAACACGCATTGGGGCAGCGCGGCGAACACTTCCTTGCCCTAAAACCCTCACAGAAATAAGAGGGCGCCTGTGCCCAGCAGTGGGACGTATATAGGCTGTTACTTTAATTTTATTATATATTATGAAAATTAAATTAGCTAACTCTCTGATACGATTCTGTTCCCTATGATTCTGTGATGCCAAGTCTTTATTTATATTAGTCTATGGCACAAACCCAAACCTATAATCGTCAGGACGGAGCATCTACGGTCTCCTTAGGTACACCTTAGGGTGTTTCTGTCTGTCCTGTCACAGAGCTTTTCTTAGTCAGAGTTCTCAAGTTAAGAAAATTATAAAAAAGACCTGCGGAGTTTACTTCGTCGTTGTTTCTTCAAGCAGAGGAAGCTCATTTACTAACGGTACTAGATTAAATAATGACTGTCTTTATGGTCTAGTCTTTTAAACAAGACTGCTTAATATGTAGTTCCGAGTTCAAAATCCCGGTAGGGTTAAATCAGTTATTGCGTTCTGCTGTTAAGAAATTCTCGGGAGCAGCCCAGACTAGGGAAATTAAGGGTGTTTCACGCCTGTGACCCGGAAAGTATGAAAACCCATACCTAATCTCTCTCCGATCGTGTTGGATTGCCGTCTCATCGTATTATCAGAGTGAGGGGAGTCCACCTGCGCTTGCGCATAAATTTTTTCATTATAAGCCTGTCCCGTGCAGATAGCTCAGACAAGTTGTGTTCTTGCAAGAAAATTAACAACTAACTAACTATATAATGGTTGTGGCACGGATTGGTCTGCTCGACCGGCGAAGGACTACGCTCTCACAGAAAACCAGCATGAAATAGCAACTTAATGCCCTTAACTTGATACCATTTTT